ATATGAGGAATTCTTAATCTCAGGAAAGAAACTGAGGGTTGCTGGAGTGGTGGGGGGTGGGAGGGATGGGGTGGCTGGGTGATAGACATTGGGGAGGGTATGTGCTATTGTGAGTGCTGTGAATTGTGTGGGACTGATGAATCACAGACCTGTACCTCTGAAACAAATAATACAGTGTATGTTTAAAAAAAAGAAGATAGTAGGAAGGGAAAAATGAAGGGGGGCGGAATCGAAGGGGGAGACAAACCATGAGAGACTATGGACTCTGAGAAACAAACTGAGGGTTCTAGAGGGGAGGGGGGTCGGGGGATGGGTTAGCCTGGTGATGGGTATTAAAGAGGGCATGTACTGAATGGAGCACTGGGTGTTATACACAAACAATGAATCATGGAACACTACATCAAAAACTAATGATGTAATGTACGGTGATTAACATAACATAATAAAATTAAATTAAAAAAAAAAACCCAGGGATGCCTGGGTGGCTCAGTTGGTTAAGCGTCTGCCTTCAGCTCAGGTCATGATCCCAGGATCCTGGTATCGAGTCCCACATCGGGCTCCTTGCTCGGTGGGGGGCCTACTTCTCCATCTCCCTCTGCCTGTTGCTCCCTCTGCTTGTGCTCTCTCTCTCTCTGACAAATAAATAAAAGCTTAAAAAAAATAAAATAAAGATTTTTAAAAGTTTAAATAAAACAATTCCGCTGATATGTGCCTTTCTCCCCCTACCTTCTGTCTAGATGTGATTCTAGAGAAGGATCAGCCATCCCACAGTACAATAAACAGGCACACTTGAAGATGTCTAAACAGAAAGACAAAAGGAACCTGACCTCCTGATGTCATGAAGCTGCCGTAACAGCCCTAGGCTGCCTATATCTGGTTTTTGTTACTTGAGAAAAATAAAACTCCTAATTTGTTTGGGTCATTATTTTTGGGTCTCTACTATTCACAGTAAATACAATTCCTAACTCCTAGGCCCATTACTGTTTATTCCCTACAGCGCAACCAGAGAGACCTTTAAAAGTATGAGTCAGAGACGAACCATGAGAGACGATGGACTCTGAAAAACAAACTGAGGGTTCTAGAGGGGAGGGGGGCGGGGGGATGGGTTAGCCTGGTGATGGGTATTAAAGAGGGCACGTTCTGCGTGGAGCACTGGGTGTCATGCACAAACAATGAATCATGGAACACTACATCCAAAACTAATGATGTAATGTATGGTGATTAACATAACAATAAAAAATTTAAAGGAAAAAAAAAGTATGAGTCAGATCATCTTACTGGCTTCCCATCACACTTAAAATAAATTTAGGTTCCTTAACAGGTCAACCAGGCCTTCTTTGATCTGGCCCTTCTATTTCTCCCAACTCATCTCCTACCAAATCCCCATACCACCCTTCCACCCACGACTTGCACACTCGAGCTCCAGCCACACTGTTCCTTGAACAAGCCGAACTTGTTTCTATTCAGGGTCTTTGAATTCGCTGCTCCTTTGCCTGGAATCTTCTTTCCTCATACCTTCACTTGGCTTGCTACCTTACTTCTTCCAGACAGCAACTCAAACATTGCCTTCTCTGAGAGACCTTCCTGATTACAGTCTTTTTGTGTCTCTTTTTAAATTGAATTCCTCTCCATTCCCCTGTAACTCTTCTGATCCTACCTTATTAATATATAGTAAGTATTTCTTTGCTAATTATTTACTGTCTTCTGCACTAGAATGTAATCTCCCTGGGCAAAGACCTTGGGTGTCTTCTTCGACACCATATCCCCAATGCCTGGCACACAGTAGGGACACAAAAAATATCTGATGTATAAATCAATATACATAATGATCTCATTTATACTGAAAAAGACTAAAGCATATGTGTATGTGTGTGTGTGTAAGTATATAAAGGACCTAAGATATACACTAAACTGCCGATACTAGTTAACTATGGTGAAGAGAATGAGAAATAAGGAAAAGAGGAACTTTCACATTTTGCTTTACATATTCCTGCCTTGTTTTTCTTATTAAGAAAACAAAATTACCTATGATATATGGCAAGAAGAAAACTTTAAACATATTCAGAAATATAAATCCACAGAATCATACAATTTAGAAACTCACAGTAACCTTAGTAAGTGTAACACTACTTGCAGGTAGGAGGATCTATGATTACTAAGTAAATATCTTTTAAAAGAACTAGAATTAGAAGAATAAAATTCTTATTAACTTTTTATAGCCCTTACAAAAGTTTTTATTCTCTCTTAAACAAAATAAAATATACCACATAAAAAGTATATTACTAGCATGTGTTATGCACCAAAATAGTAATGATGAATTGTGTAGAACTAATTTCCACTCACCAACTCTTGCTTGTAGAAACTTTTTTTTTAAGATTTTATTCATTTATTTGACAGAGTGAGAGATAGCGCATGAGCGGGGGGAGGGGGCAGAGGAAGAGGGAGAAGCAGGCTCCCTGCTGAGCAGAGCATGGACTATATGGGGCTCAACCCCAGAACCTTGGGATCATGACCTGAGCCAAAGGCACCCAGGTGCCCTGCTTACAGAAACTTTTAAGGATTTTCCTTCCCTAAATATTCATCCAGTAATATAGATATTTACTTTGTTTTGTTTTAGAAAATACATACTCTACGAGACACCTTTTCTCTACCAAGGTCTCCATCCAAATGTCTAGTGCCTTTTAATTTTTTTCTACAACTTTATTGAGGCATATTTTACATGTTATGTAATTCATCTACCTCAAATGTATAATTCGGTGACTTTTAGTAAATTTACCAAGTTGTGGAACACACCATAAATCAGTTTTAAAAATCTTCACCACTGCAATTAAATCGCTCATGCCCTTTTATTGTTAACCCTCATTCCCACCCCCTATTTAAACCAACCTTTAAATTTTTTTTTCTTTTTAGATTTTATTTATTTATTTGAGAGAGAGAGAGAGAGACAGAGTGAGAGAGAGCACAAGTGGGAAGGAGAGGGAGAAGCAGGCTCCCCGCAGGGCAAGGAGCCCAATGCGGGGCTCGATCCCAGGACCCCGGGATCATGACCCGAGCCGAAGGCAGTCAGTCACTTAACCGACTGAGCCACCCAGGCGCCCCTCAACCAACCTTTAGTCTCCTGTCTGTCTCATTACATTTGCATATTCTGGACATTTCCTATAAGTGTAATCATACAATATGTGGTCCCTTGTATCTGATTCTTTTCACTTAGCATCTTTCTGAGGTTCACCCAAGTGGTAGCATGTACCAGTAATTCATTCTATTTTACTGCTGAATATTATTCCACTGTATAGATATGCCATATAGAGCCCTTTGATTTTCTGACTTGAATTTCCATTTTCCATGTTGTACGATGGATGCCAGCAACTTGGGCACTTGGAGTTGGGGGGAGGAGCTATATATGTCCTTCATTTAACCCAAATAACATAGGTGAATATTTTTCAAACCCAATCCAGTTTACATAGGGTAAGACTGTCCTAACTTCACTTAACATCATTCTGCCATTTAAAATGCTTTTCAGACCATTTTTCTGTCCCTCCCTCCTAAAAGGAGTAACAGCACAGTTCCCAAGGTTTCTTTCTCTCTCCCAAAGCTTATAAAAACCTCTACTCTTACTATGCATTCTGTTTTACCTCCTTTTTCTACCTCCAACTCCCTGTCTTCTCTTTATCTTGAAGCTGATAGCTTTAAAATTTCCATATTCTCCAAGTTTGTAAAAAGGTATATCAGAATTAAATAGCTGCAGATTCTGGAATTTCATTTAAGAGGAATCTGTGGTTCTTTTGATGTGGTCCCCATAAAGAATTCCTTCCTATGTAGAAAAAAGCTTTGTAAGTGATTTAAACACCAAAAACACTCTCACAATTCCAATATAAAAGGAGCATGGGGACCCAAGTTAACATTTGACACTCTCATTTAAAAGAGAAAGTCAAAGAATGTACGGTAATTAAACAAAGTTCTCTATTTTCTCTTTAACACGACCTTTTTAAACATTGATTTTTTTCATTCAGTGTAAAATGCCACAATGTTATTGTCTCACCTGTTTTATGATGATATCTGATTCAGATTAAGTGGACTACCTTTACAAAATACTAAATATACACATGTAGAATAATTTACGAAGGTAGGTAAGGTATGGTGGTGTCGGGCAAGGGCTGGGGAAGGATGATAACAAATCTTGTGACATACTTATTACCAGCCTTTTTGACATCTTAATTCTCTAAGTGATTCACAGACAATAAGCTTGAAAACATTGAAAATAAGACGATGGGGACATAGCTAAAAGCTTTCCCGGTGGTAAATGTTCTCTACCTAGAAAATTATTTTACTACCCCCCTTACTGTCCTAAGCTACAGTTCTGTAGTACGTAACAGAGTAAAAGCAACAAAAGATAACATCAGTTTCACGGAATTAGAGGAACCTTGCAAGATAAGGAAAAATAATACATTATTAGAGCTTAAATGCTGGCTTTTAACCAAGATTTAAATGCCAAGAATAGGGGCACCTGGGTAGCTCCCTCGGTTAAAAATCCAACTTTTGGTTTCGGCTCAGGTCAGGTCATGATCTCACGGATTGTGGGATTGGAGCCCCTCATGGAGCCCTCCCCCCAAACCTTGTGGCAGGCTCTGGGCTCAGCAGGGAGTCTGCTTGAGATTCTCTGCCCCTCCCTACACTGGAGCACGTGCGCTCTCTCTCTCTCTCTCTCTAATAAATCTAAATAAGTAAGTAAGTAAATAAATGCCAAGAATACCCCTCTTGGTGGCCAGTTATTGTGGCAGGTATAAGACAGGCCAGGTGAGCTACAGTTTCATCTATGAAAGGACAGTTAAAAAGGGGTTCTTAGTTAAGGTTTACTCTACCTCTATTAAAGCTACAGTATAACGTAGTATGGAGACAGGCTCTGCATTGTAAATTTCAAAAACTCCCACCAAGTATTCTTTAATGTCATCATTTCAATTTACTTTAAGAAAATGAGTGGTGTGATCACGTTTATACTGTACCTTTCTCAGGCTTTCATATTCCTCACGAAGTTCTCCAGGCTTGCTTAACTTGATTGGTGCTCTGAATATAAACTCTGGAGGAAAGGGAAAAGAAAACACTTTTTAACAGGAGTTTCTAGGAAAGAACCCAAAACCCTACTCTACTGCTGTCCCCACGTTATAAACCACATAAAAAATTGTGGTCATCTTAATTTGAATATTCATTCACTCATTAACAAATATTTATTAAAGTTCTAAGCACTGGGGAGAAGCACTGAACAAATAAAGCCCTTGCTCTCATGGAGTTTACAATCTTACAGGCAATAAACCAACAAGTGTGTGCATATAATACAACTGGTAGTACAAAGTGTTACAGAGAAAAATAAATGTAGAATGAAAGAAAAAGATTATTTTATAAAGAACGGTCTGAAGGAGCCTCACTGATAAAGTCACATGTTAAAGGACCTTAAGAAAAAAATCCTATTTAAAGCTTAGTTCAATGTTACCAAGTAACATTCTAAACGAGCTAAAGTTTTATTCATAATACTGTATTTTCCTCTTTTTCAATATTGCCGGCAGAGTATTTTCTTGCATACAACCTGTAAACATTTTCGGTATATAACCTGATTTTTTATCCTTAAAGCCTTTGCGGTTTTCACTGGCCTAGAGAATAAAGTCAAAACTCTTCAACCCGTCATTCAAGGCTCTCCAAAGATGAATCACAACTTCATCACAATTTCTTCTTTCTCCAGCACTGGATCTCTTAACTCTGACTATCAAGTTACAATAGACACACGCCATATATTTTTAAACCTTCTGTGCTGTTTTCTCAGCTGACATTCTTTTTTCCCTTATCTCTACATATTTTTAAATCCAAGATATTCAGGACCACAGAAGGCACACAACACGCGTTGGTAATATAAATAGATGATAAAAACCCAAATGAAGAATAGGAATAAAAGACAAGTTCTAAATGCGATCAAAAAGGAGGGAGAAAGTACACAGTTCTGCCTCCTTAAATGTACATGACACGTCTATATACTTCTTTGTACATGTAGTGATCAAAATATAGTATTAATTTTAAGACTTACTAAGAACTCTATATCCCATTCAGGTTGACAAATATTTATTGTAAAAAAGTAGGCTCCTTAAAAAGTTGACTTTTTTCCTTTTTCAGTTGACTCAACTATTCTGGAAGACTCTTATTTAGTACACCTCTGAAATGTGGAAGAGACTTAGAAACACGGGCTCTAATGCAAAAGCAGGGAACAGTAACTTAAAGGCCTACAAGTACTAGAGAATTGTCAGATGCCTGGTGTGGGAGGCAAACATTCTACCACCTTCACTCACTTATAAAAAAAAGTCCTGATGACTATTTTAATCATATCCCTTAAGCACATTTCCAATTATAGGCAAATAGTATTTAAAATCTGATACTTTAATAGAGAAGGAGAAGGAGAGAGGAAAAAGAACCCTTAAGGCAAAAAAGTACTTTCAATCCATTTATGGAGAACCTATCACGTGTAAAATACTTCATATATATTTTCTCAGCAAATCCTCACAGAAATTTTATAAAGTAGGTATTATACCCATTTTACAATAAGGAAAATGAGATAATGACTTGCCTAAGGCCACAAAACTAGTACATGGCAAAACCAAAAACATTAATAGGAATAAAGAGGGAAATTACATAATGATTAGAAAAGCAATCCAAAAAGGAGATATAATAATCATGAACTTGTATGAACATATACCACAGCAAAAACTAATTAAGATAATTTAATTGTGGTGTGTTAAAATAATGCAAGAAGTTTTAACACACCACAATTAAAAACAGATCAGGCAGACCAAAAGGTAGTAAATATGTAGAAAAACTGAGTAACAAAATTAACAGATTTGATCCTAATATATTTATATATATGTATGCACCCAATAAATAGAATATATATTCCTTAAAGTAAACAAGGAACAATTAAAAATACACCAGGTCATGAAGAACTTTCAAAGAATTCATATCATACAGACTTTGCTCTCGGATCCTAGCTGCTATTTTCCAAGCGAAGTTTTCTGGCTACCTGGCTGATTATTCTGGATTACCCAATATTCTTTCTCAATAAATTCTTTTTCTGTTTAAATTTGCCAGAGTAGATTTCTGCTGATTAAAATGAACAGCGCTGGCTGATTCCATCTTTTAGACAGAACTATAAAATGGCCATAAACCAACCTCCAAGAAAAAAAAAAGAGAAGACGAAGTAATACTAAGAATAAAAAGGAGGACCAAAATACAGATATCAAGGGGAGTTTAAATCTCCAAAGACTATTCAAACAATGCTCTCATGGATGATCTTGCATGTATATCATTTTGCAAGTGTATTCACAGATTAAATTGCTGGAATCAGAATTACTGTGTCAAAGAATATATGCATATGTGCTTTTGTAATTTTGGTAGACAATACCAAGTCGCCCTTCCTTTTTGTAGCCTATACTGACTTAGGCCCCACCAGCAATGCAAGAGAGTGTCATCTCCTTATATCTTTTCCAACACAATGAGTGTTGAAACTTTTTAGTTTTGCCAATCTAACAGGTGAAATTCTGTATCTTGTATACACATTTTATGAGTGAAATTGAGTACTTTTCATGTTTGAGTAATTTGCATTTACTTTGAAATGAAATGCCTATGCATTTCCTTTATTCCTTATATTAACTTTTTCTTCTTGATTTGTTAAAGCTCTCTATAAGGAAAATTAGCCTTATGTCACATGACTACCAACACTTTTCCTAGTTTATCATTTGTCTTGACTTTGCTCATAGTGGTTATTTTTCTTTTTCAAGATTTTATTTATTTATTTGACAGAGAGAGAATGAGAGAGAGAGAGCACGAGAGGGAAGAGGGTCAGAGGGAGAAGCAGACCCCCTGCTGAGCAGGGAGCCCGATGTGGGACTCGATCCCGGGACTCCAGGATCATGACCCGAGCCAAAGGCAGTCGCTTAACCAACTGAGCCACCCAGGCGCCCCTCATAGTGGTTATTTTTATGTAATTATACTACTCAAAGTCCTTTTTCATGGCTTCAGTATTTTGTATATTTGAAAAGACCTTCCTCCGGCCAAGATATAATAGCAAGTATCATAGTTTCTTCTGGTACAAAGTATAAGATTCTTCCCCTACGTACTTTAAAAAAAATCTAAATATTTTTATTTGGGGAGCAACATAAGGAGCATAATCTTATTCAGGCTTATAAATTTACAAGGTACCAAAAATCTTTTAGTGATGGCCTGGTAGAAATTACGAAAAAAATTTTTTTAAAGATTTATGTATTTGAGAGAGAGAAGGGGGGAGCAGGGCAGAGGGAGAGAATCTTCAAGCAAACTCCCCATTGAGTGTGGAGCCCGACACGGGGCTCAGTCGTACAACCCTTGGGATCATGACCTGAGCCAAAACCAAGAGTCGGAAGCTTAACCGATTGAGCTACCCAGGCGCCTCTATGAAAATTTTAATTACTGTTGGATAATTTGCTTTCTCTAAAATGGTTCTTGCTAACATTTAGAACAAAAATGTCCAAAGACCTTACCATCTTCATTATATCATGTAAATAATACAAAGTTAAAAGCCTGATCCTCAACTTAGAAGTTTCCAGAGCCTTGGATAAGTTAAGACTGACTTATGACTTATATCCTCTTCTGTAAAATCAGACTAATACCTATCATGACAGGCCATTATGAGCATCAAATGAGTGTCCTGACAGTGAATATACTATATACTATTTCAGCCAGTACAGTGGCATACAACAGAATTTAATAACTATAAAATTCTCTCTGGTGTTGGAAAGATAAAGAAATTGTGGTTCGGTCTGATTTACTTGCAAGTACAACTTACAGGAAACAAAGATAATGATCCAACTGCTTTGATAGGTATATTACATGAAAAGTTAAATTCACTTTGGGATACCTATTAAGAAATCTCAAAGTTCATATATAAGGCCAAATGGAACTCAGCATAGTGACTGAAATCTTACTATGCCTTGACTTATTTGAGAGTAAATGTAACGTAATTTGAGAGTAAAGGGTAGAAGTAAAGTACCAATTTACATTCAGCAAAATCAGTACTGATATAGATTAGCTTAATCTTGGATTAAGATTAATAATGTTTAATTCATTAAGAATACAAAATGCTAAATAGTCAAGATCACTTTTTGCCCCAACAGAACTATGCTACATTAAATGACATTGTGCCCAAAAGTTCAAAAATTATATAGCTAAATATAAAACATGAATTGGTCCAACATGACATTAACTTAAATATTTAATCCTATTTCCTATTTTACTAATACCCTCCAGAAATGTCAACAAGGCAAAAAAAAAAAAAAATCCCATCTTTTTCCTATGGACTTTCAAAAAGAACATATTAGATTCTGATACCTGCTCTGTCAATTAAGTGTCAAGGCTTCTCTTTGCCTTGGCCTCCTCATTGATCAAATGAAGATCAAAATACTGGCCAACCTACCTCCTAGGAATGCAGAAGATCACAATTAATAGAAGCAGTAGTAATCAATGAAGAATCCCTATAATAAATAAAAACAGCTAACATTTAATAAAAGCACACTACATGCTAAGTGTTATACACACACACACACACACACACACACGGAGAATGCAGAAAAGAGTTAACATAGCAGGCCTAAATGACTATCTTAAAAGGCCCACTAGCAACGTGGCCCTTGGCTGGCTGGTGCCTAGGAAGTTGGATTTCAGGAGAGTTCCCACCCTCCCTAACTGATCAGGTACAGATTATCGCACCTAAACTGTTCATAGAAACAATCCAGTTATGCTGACTACCTTCTTTCCTGCTGGGAGTCTGGAACTTTGGCACATGCTAGGCAGAGGGATCATCAATCCCTAATAAAAACCCCTTCTAATGAGCTTCCCTAGAGGCAACATTGCACATGTGTTGTCACAACTTATGGCTAGGGGAATTAAGCACTTTCGGTGTGATTCAACTGAAAGAGGACTCTGAAAGCTTACACCTGGTTTCCCCCTGAACTTTCTCCCATGTGCCTTTTCCCTTTGCTGATTTTGATTTGTATCCTTTCACTATAATAAATCATAGCCAT